TTAAACAGCTGTGTCAGTGGTTTTATGCTTTTTCTTCCTGTGTAGTATTCCGTGAAATATTGCTCAGTTACCTTTTCATTCACGTTCTTCAAGTCACAGTTTTTTTCATTACCTTGTTATTGGGCTGGGGAAGATGACTCAGTGGTAAAGCATTTGCCTAACAAGCATGAGATTGGGAGTTTGGATCTCCAGAAACCCCTGTACATGTAGAATAGGCATGGTGCCCCACCTCTAATGCCAGCCTCAGAAAGCAGAGACAGGGCAGAACTTCAGAGTAAGTTACTTGGAAAGATTAACTATATCTGTGAGCTCTGGGTTTGATTAAGAGACTCTGCTTCTCAATCAGTTGAAGAACGAACAATGAGTCCCAGTGTCAATCTTGGGATTCCAGATGCACCTGAATACTGACTACAACAAAAGCATGCCTGCCCATATATAGACACTACACACACTTGTGAAAAATAAAAAAGAAAGGATATATCTGGCTATTAGTGTGCATTAATTAATGCAAAAATGCAATGAATTGAAACCATAGAGAAGGATGTTGTGAACCAAACCGTGCTCAACATTTCCTTTTACAGAAGCTTCAAAAAACCAAGATTTGTAATTTTTAAAAATTAATTCACCAGAATGACTAACTTATTAAGAAGATACGTATCCACCAAAGATTATGAATTTAAACATCGATAGTGCTTTGATACCACATGTTTCCTCTGGTATTATACCAGTTTGAGAAATGCAGAGATAGGAATTTTCAGTCCTTCTTCCATGCAGGCTGCTGCTTCTGTTACTGTGATCTGCCATTGGCCACTGAATTTTTGAAAATCTGCTCATGAGACAGAGATTATGCCTCATGAATCTTAGATGATATAATTAGGACACACAAGGTCTCCTGTGTGACAGGGAGAGAAGGGCAGCCTGAGGAATGATAGAGAGGGAGAGAGAACTAACCAATGACAGAACTTTCTAGAAATCTTTCCTGGTGGGAGGCATTGAGAAAATTAGACTACTAAGATGTCTGGTTTGCAGACTGTTTTCTAAGTAGTGGGGTTTTATTTAGTGTCCAGCCTAGAAAGTTGCAGGTTAAGATAGAGATATCGTCTAGAAAGTGAAATTATTCAATCTAGTAAGAAGGACAATTTACGAGAGTTGTCAGTTGTGTAAGATTATGTTGTGAGAACAGGCCTTTCAAACCTTGAGATCTGTGGGGCAGAGGGCTTACTCCTCTGTCCTCTTATTTAAAATGTCTTTCTTTGGGGTCCTTTTAATGACAGTCAGGGGCCACTGTGTCAGGACTGTCAGCCCAACATCTGTTTTGAACTCTTCATAGGGTGTTACCCACAAAAGAAGAATCCCCCTTCTCCTGCTACTGCTGTTTATCAGGAACCAGGATTGCCGCTTGGGTGACTTTAGCCTTGAGAATCAGAGACCATTATAAATGTCACCAAGTGTCAGGAACTCACTTTCAGCTGATGGCCAAAATCACATCAATGAAGGAAGGCAACTGTTTGGTGTGCCATCCTTCCAAATTCCTAAATAGAGGGGGATGGTGATAATAATCACCTCGGGGGTTTCTAGATCCAGTTTCCGAGATGCTGATAACAATCCAGGAAACTAAAATCGGGGTAAATTCCCTAAAAAGCTACAGGTAGCTACTGACCTCCCCCTCTTTCTTGTTCTCTTTACAAACTCATACCAAATGCCCTAACTTGGAGGGTGGGGCCCAGAAAGAAACCACAGGACCATGAAGTGTAGAATCAACGTGAAAATGCTGTTCTGAAAAGCAATGCTCCTATACACATTTTATTTAAAAAGTCAATTGACTAAAAATATACAAATGTCTAGCCCTCAACCTGCATTTATTTCAGGGGAACACCATCCAGCAGACCATTCTGGATGATTTAAAATTCTGTATTTGCCCTGCCTAGTTCAGTGTCCACCAGCACGTGAAATGTGGCTACTTTGACTCAGGAATAGGATGTCATATTTTACATAGTGTAAATTCCAATAGTCAAACTTTTGGACAATGACATTATAGAAACAGGAGGGACTGGTCCCAGCAGACACTGCAAAATTCTAGACGCAACCATTTTCCAGTTAATGTCCTCTTTTCCTCTAGGCAGTGGGGTGGAAGAAGTAAAAAGAAAGGGGTGGTTGATTCCAAAGAGAAACAGAATTTTCTATTGTTTTTCTATCCTAAATTCAAGATATCCAAATTTTGTCAATAAAACAGGCCTTGAAGACTTGTCAAACCTGTCTGTCCCCTTACCTGCCTCTACTTGGCAGCAGCCTACAATTCTGTGTTGGACCATGGAGGCTCATTGTTCAACTACCATAGGTCTATTTTCAAAGTTAGCCGAGAGTTAAATCCCACTCCCCACACCTTTTGCATCTCACAGATTACTTTCAATTTGCTAATGACTCTGTGGGTTAATTTCAGAAAAATACTTTGTTTAAATCTATCCCAATCGTTTCCAAATTGGAAGGAGATAGATTATTTGGGGCTTGGGAATTTGTGCCGTGAGGTTTTGAGGGACATGCTTTCTAGCTAGTCTCTAGAGATCCCCCATTGACCCTTTCCGGTTGTGCTTGCTGTTGAATGGTCCTGTCACAGGTGGCTCTGTGGTCTTTCCTTACAAAGAAAAGGAAATGTATATAGTATAGTTTTCTTTCTTAACAGGTTTTGGGTAGGGCTTCTTTTTGCCATTTTTATTTAATGTCAGCAATTAGATGACAATGTTTAAAAAAGAAACCAGATATTTTAAGCCCTACTGTTTGTAGTGCTGGTGTCTTCCAGGTGTTTAATAGGATGTCATGGCTCTCTTCTCTGATGACAGACGTCTGGGGTAACCACTTTCCATTTCCTGACACTGGAAACAGATACTGTTTGGGATTTCCTTTTATAGCTCGTTCAGCTAACGACTCCAGTGACCACTCAATTGTGGTCTTGTAGTAAATCAACATTTCTTTGAAAGACCCAGCTGTTATGTAATTTTCAGTGTCTTACAAAGCCATCTCCCCAACTAAAAAGTGCCTCTCGGTTGTTCTAATGATACCGTTGTTGTATGTGATAGTTTTTGAAAATAAAGGAATAGACCAATTTCTTTACCCCTGCCCTCCCCACCTCACCTTCTTCTTTTAAATGAACCCATGATTGATGAGGAACAAACACTGGCTTCAGACCCTGTCACACCTGGTCAGTTAGTGATGAATATACAGAAAGCATGCAGCCAACTGTGACATCAATCTCTGGTAGCCCTCTTGAATGACTTGTTCTAGATGGAATTTTGACAGACTGAAGAGAACACACTGGGTCTAGGGTAGCTTCTGCATTGTCAAGTGTGCATTTTAATGAGATATTAAAATCAACCCCATGAGCCATGTGTTCATAACCTATAGTTTATGGCCACCCCTCAGGAAAAGGAAAATCGACTTGTTTTGCCAGAGAACTTTTGGATGAAAATGAGGGACAATGGGATATTGTTAACTGTTCAAGGCGGTGAGTACTTTGACATTGAGGGTTAAAAATTGACAGGTCTGGATCAAGGTGGCAAGCTTTTCCCTATGCTCATCAGGCAATGAAACCAAAGCAGTGCTCCAAAGAGTCTAGAAATCTGTGTCCCCTTAGCTAACTCAGAAAAGGCTGCCTCAAGAGCTAAGGGCACAGGATATACCAAGTTTTGTAAAGCCATTCACCTCTTCAGAGGCTAATACCTCTCAAACCGGAGAACAATTAAATTGAGAGTCTTTCCAAGCAACTGGGGAATTGAGCAAAATAAATCAGAACTCTTCCGATTTTGCTCAGGAGGCTGGCCTCATTATAAGAGCAGATCTATTAGCCTTCTTGCCATTGTCTTTCATTTCTCAAGTGAGGTGATTCTAATTAAATTAATCTGCATGTCAATCTATTGGTGATCAATCAAAGAGCCAGAGGTTTCCCCTATGCTGCTGGGTGCTTGTGGCTGACAGGGGCTGATAATGGAGGAAGAAATAAGCTGGCGGGCAAAGTTAATTAGTCAACATAATAGGTGGATTAAACAGGGGCTGGCTGATGGCCGTTTCTCGTGTCAAAGCACGAGTTGGGAGCCAAAGCTGCAATTACAGGCAATTATTATATTTGGTTGTAAGAGGTCACATGAATAAACATCTCTCTGTGGGGTTAGTTTTAATCCTCCTCCCCCTTTTAATATAAGGAGATATGTAGGTCAATCCTGTTCATTGTTTTAGTCAAAGTTCTCAGAGGCACACATTTTTTCAGACCCTTGTGGCAAGCTGGACCGAGTCACCCTTAGATGTGACCTGGGCCTCTAAGTTGGCATTTTGTCAGTTCTGTGTTTTACTTTTTCTCTTTGAAACAGATCTAAGACCTTTAATTACTAGGATTTTGGGGGGGGGGTAGTATGATGATAGTGGGTCTGAGGGAAGTTTGGATATGATTCACCAAAATAACATGGGACGAAAGAATAAAATGTGTAAGAAACTTCAATAAGACCCCGGGGGAGAGGAAGACACAAGCAGATCCCAGCTTCTACTCCAACCCCTCTCATTTTCATTCCCCTATCTTCTTAACCCTGACACAGTAGGGTAGAGATATTTTAAAGATTTAAAAGACTTCTATTTGCATGATCTACTGTGATATCTATACTTCAATGTCTAAACTGAAAGGTAATTTAGGTGAAACACAGCCACCCTTGTGTAAAAAAAATATAAAACTGTGCTAATAAAGACCGCCTTGTAAAAATTATGGTTAACAGGGTACCTTTTGCTGCATAACTATAAACTGTGCAATTTTACTTAAAACGGCATCAAAAGCGTTCCATGCCGAAGACCCACTCATCAATAGCGCCTCTTGTTAGACATGTACAACATAAGCACCAGTTATTATGTGAAATAGCTATGCAATTTTCTTCAGCTCCCAGCTGTTATTTATTTAACTTGAGTTTATTTCCCACCATGCTTTTATATGAAAATGTTCATTCATTTTCCTCTCCTGTCTCTAGGTCGTGGTGTCTACCACAGTCAACGTGGATGGCCATGTCCTGGCAGTCTCTGATAACATGTTTGTCCACAATAATTCCAAGCATGGGCGGAGGGCTAGGAGGCTTGACCCCTCGGAAGGTACGCCCTCTTATCTGGAACATGGTAGGCGAATCATTTTCATTGGTTGGCATTGCTACTTTTAACTGTGACTTTGTGTGATTTCTTCCTTCCATCTTCGCTACATTTCCTATGGTTACAAGTTTCCAGTTGAACACCACTGATGTGCTTTGTGCTTTGACCCTGCAAAATAAGAAGCTAAGGATTTAAAGGCAGGAGTCTATCTTTTAAGCACATTCTTTTTGGTTGCATGCCTGACTGTCTGACTTGGAATGCTGGTATCTCTTACTCTCAGCTTGGGAAGAGAGAGGGAGCGCTCCCTGGTCCAAGGCTCTCCCATTTGACTACAAAATGAGAAAAGATGAATCTGTAGGTGAATAGGGGGAAACATCCAAACCTGCCATCGCATCTATGTGACTACCTGTTGATTTATTTCATTTGGAGATCCGGTTTAGAGTCAAGAGTAGCTATTATTCCTGCTGTGGTCCTCAAATGTCCCTCCTCTGCCTTTAGTCCTCTAGGCCAACCACTCCCTCTTCGTCATCATGTGGCATAGCTGGCTCTCTGCAGGGAGACTTTGGCCAGGGAGAAATCACTACCACTGAAGATTGTGGGAAATCAGTGGTTATTTATGAGACAACTGGAGGAAACAGTCAAAACTGGTTCAAGAAAAGGGAGTGTTATTCAGAAGGAATCTGAATAACTTGCTTGAGTGTCTAGGCAACGGATTCCTCTTTCTATCTACCCAAGAGTCTACTACATACCAGCTACCAATTGCACTTTCTCTGGTCTCCTCAAATGAAACTCAACCTGCTCCTCTCACTCTACCACCCCTCCTTTGCCAAATCAGCAGGATTCCTTTGAGAACACAACCATACAAATTATTCTCTGATAGCCTGACTTTTACTGTGGCCCATGAGCTATCCATGACATAATTCACAAGGTAGAAAACTCCCTTTACTGCCAGCATCCCAATTTAATAAACACACCCATGTCATCATTTTTGCCTTTTTTTTTCTACCTGTGCTTAAGGAATGCACAAACAGTACATTTCATTAATTAGCCCGATGTCATACTCTTAGAAGGCATTTCTCCCCCCACACACACCCAGTTTTATAGTCTTTCAAAAGTAAACCATCACCGTTCAAAAGCTGAGGCTTTATGTTTCATTAGTGCCTAGATGGATGGGTATTACTTTTTTCAGGAGGCCATTTGAAATACCTGCTCATGATTACATCCTTCGCTCCATTTCTGTACTTAAAATTATTCTGATCCTCACTTTACAGTAATGGTGCCTCCTCAATATCCTTGAAGTCACTGTAGGCATCATATGGCTAAAGGTACTTAGGTGGGAGGAAGAAGAAACCCTTGAAAATAATCAGCAGGCACAGTTTGGAGAGCCTGGGTCAGGGACCAAAGCTGTTGCTTTGACTCTGACTGGTTGGTTGCAATGGGAGCTGGCTGATTTGGAGACTGGCTTAACAGTCAGTTAGAGATCTGCAGTTCATGGTTTCAGAGAAAGCTCTAATCACAGCTCCCATACCCAGTTTCCATGCCTAGCTCCCATGTTAAGCTCCTATTTTTGCCTTTTGGGAGTGAGGAGAAGGCTGGCAGGATGGCTCAGTCAATAAAGTGTTTACTCTAAAGAACCTGCTTTCAACTTTCAGAACCCACATTAACAAGTCAAGTCTAGTCTGGTAACATGCTTATGACCCCATCTCTGGGGAAGCAGAGATAGCAGATCTCAGGGACTCACCAGACAGGCAGTCTAGTCCTATTTGGTGAGTTTCAGGCCAACGAAAAGGATTTGTGTCAAAAAGCAAGGTGGTGGCATCTGAGAAACTATACCCAAGGTTGTCCTCTGTCCTCTGTCCTGCAAACACACATATGTATATGAAAATCAATACAAATGAAAATAAATTTTCAAAGGAAATGGAACAAGCTCACACACCATACTACTTATCCCTGCAACAAATGTCCCAAAGTAAGCAAGCAGAAGGCCACCAGCTACGAAGGATCCTTTGGAAAGGTAGAGGTTGGTGACATTGTTTTTGCAAAGTGATACAGAGAACAAAGTCTTGAGGGAGGCACCAACAATCCCAAATTCTATTTTTCATCTTACTCTGGCCTCTGTCTGACCCTGAACAAGTCAGTTTAGTCTTTAGGATCCTTGGGATTCTTCTTGGTAAAATGAAGGTAGTCATCTGTTAGGAATAAAACAAGAGGTCTCCGCTTTGGGAGAGTGAAGGAGATGTAGATAAGGGAAGTAGGCTGGATGAGGGCAGTGAAGACTGGCCAGTGCGTCTCCTGCAGCCCTGGCACTGACCAGTGTCTCTAAGAGGCAGGCATGGGGCCAGATGTTCCAGTTTGGCAAGCATCAAAACTCTCCTACTTTTTAATTCTTAATAACTAATAAATTGTTACCATTTAACAACTGATGATTAGCATTTAAACACAGAAGGGAGGAAAGAGAGTGCTGAAGAAGAGTGCTGCCCATGCTAGCCATTGAGATCTCTTGCTCAAAACATGTCCAGACAACCTCTTAGCTCAAATGGTCCCTCCGTGAGGATAACATGCTAATGTACCAGCTGGGACACCATCTGATCCCCAGACAGAAGGAAAATATTGTCTTCTGCTTTGTTTACCAGTCTACAAAGAAGCTTGTTCAAAATGGTGACATTTTCCTGTTTAGCTATCACTGGAGAGGTCACTATGCCCTATGTCCTTCACACTCATCAAACCCTTATTTTATGTCTCTCCACTGGAATGAAAGGGTAGGCACGTTCAGATCTTCAGTAATGGCAGTGCAGTTATGTAGAAATCTCATTTTTCTACAAAGTAGCCATAGATAACCACCCACTCATTTAGACACTTCAAATGCATGCATAAATATCTCCTTGGCCAAGGGTGACTATTGAACTTTCTTGGTGATGTCTGGGAGTGGACCTACATGCTAATTCATGTTGGTTTGGGGGATAATCTTCCCATTGAAACAATCCTATCTAAAATACTTTGGTGAAGGCTCATTGCCAGCCAACTGTCTCTGATTTGTCACATTTACCTCTTTCTCACAGCTTGTCTTCACCTCTTTAACCTGTAGAGTCCTCATCATTCTGGGCCTTTTCCCACCTCATTTACAGGTCGCCCAGATTATTTTGAGCAGTACAGCACATCTCTATTTATATCCTGTTTGTCAGACACTGGGAGGAAAGTCCCTCTTGTGGCTCATCTTTCTACATTTCTAGAAAAAAAATCATAGTTTACATTCATGCACAGTCTTCCCTAAAAGGCCCATGCCCTCACAGCTCCTTGGCTCAGATTAATGTCTCTGGATTTCAAATCTGAGGGATGACAAAGGCAGATTTATTTCCTAGAATCTTGCGTGATCCAAAGAGGCTGGAACTTGGAACACGGTAGTTCACGGTAATCACCCCCTCCCTCCCATTTTTCTCTCCATTCATAAATACTAAGATTTTCTTTGGCTGGATATTTATGGGTACCTTTATTGATGCTTCTTCTTTAAGCAATGGCTTTGTGGAAGATGTACAGTTGTGGAGAGAGGCAGCATCACGAGTAACTGCTCTCAGGATTCTAATTTCTATGGAAGCCTGGGTTTGGGACCAAGGGACCTGAATCATGCCCACCCTTGGTAATATGAAACAATTGGTATATATGTGTGTGTCTCATCTTCCAGTCAAGCCACTCAGGCAAATTTGTGGGGAATGTGTATGAGAGTGCTTGAAAGGGCTTCAGGAATGCTGTTATTGTCACTGTGGTTCATCTCGAGGTTCAGGTTCTATTTACTTGAATTTAAGGCCAATTGTGGCATCAGTTTCTCTATTTCTTTCCCCCATGGCAAAATGCTGTGTCCTCACAATGCTAGAGTGCAGAGACCCTGTCAGCTTGCATGCGCTAACACTTTATTATCTAATGATCTAATATGCAACAAGGCAGAGTGCCTGTGCTCATCATCCTGACACAGAATGCCGGGAGAAGTGACTAAATTACTTTATGTACCATTAGCGCTAGCAGCTATGGTGAACTCACCGGCAGCATTTATGCAAATGTCTGTGAATACACTCTAGTGGCTTTGTCAGGGAGCTGTCTGACAAGCAGTTTAAATGCTCATTTTTTTTAAGGATATATATGTGTGTGTGTGTGTATGTATAAAATTTGGACATACATATGCTTTTCCTCCCTTTTTTGTCCCTTTCCTTTGGAGGTCTTAGATCCTATGTGACAACTGAGAAAATCAGAACAGATTGGAGAACTCCTATCTGTAGGGGCATTTTTAGGAGTAAGGTCAAGCCTCTGTTCTGGTGATATTTTTATACAGAGCTTATAAAAAAAAGGCAATGACAACAAAAACCAGCTCTTATGAGTTTGTACAGCCACTATATGTATTTTTGAGAAAACAAAAAGCAATGAAGGCATTGAGTGTTTTGTAAAAGAGCATTTTAATGGTCATGAGTTATGACCTGAGGTCCCATGCTTTGTGGCTCAAACAGAGATTAAAAGCAAAACCAATACTTTTTAAGAATGGAAGGTGAGTTGGGCAGGTGGTGGTGGCACCCACCTTTAATGCCAGCACTCAGAAGGCAGAGGCAGGCAGATCTATGTGAGTTCACCAGCCTGGAACCAACGGTTCCAGGGTGACACAAAGAAAGCCTGTCTCAAGAAAGAAAGAAAAAGGAAAGCGATGAATATTTAGCATTTGTGGGCATCACATATGAATGAATTAAATTTCCCTATAGAGTAGATACAAAGATATAAAACATGAACATGCCAGAATCCCAAAATAAAAAAAGTCAAAACAAAAGTGGGCTTTGGTGAAGTGACAAATATTTTGGAGAATAAAGAATGGTGACAGGCTCACTGGGCTATGTCCCCAGTTGTAATTACAGTTTTAGAATGACTAGAATGCCACCACCATTCAGTTCTGGCCTTTTGGTCACATCTCCCTGGCATTATGGTGTTACTCTGGCTCCTTAGCATATGACTTTCATAAAGTCTTTTGCTTCAGGCTAGGAAGTTCTTGCTTATGT